ACATCATGTACTCATTTTCCTATAATTGATACATTAATGCCATATAATTTATATTTCTAATTCCTATAACATCCTCATATGATTTCAAGGACTTTGGTACTATACTTCATATCATATAAAAATCTAACAGTTTTAGATCATAGTTTCATTTAACATATCGACCTTTCTATATTACTTATCTAACATATTCATATACTCATATCACATAATAATTTCACCTGACTATATCTTATGTTCATTTCATGCTTAAATCGTATAATATCCAAGTCTCCCTTATATAGTTTACGCTACATATTCATATAATCTTTTTTGAATCTTATAGGTAATTGTTGCTTATCTTATCTCATTTCCCTTTTATCAGTTTACATGATTTATTACACTAACCTTTTCAATAACATATGACTTATATCACTTATCTCACAATATTTAAATACTAGTTTACTCTATTTATTTAATTCAGTTTCATATAACACCTATAATTTTTCTCATAGGGATTTTACAGTTCTTCATTCGATAATTCCTATATCATAATTTCCTTTAAGTATATCATACTTCCTATAGTGCTTATCCTATAGGTTTGTATCATCCTTATGTTCATGTCCCCTAATTTATATATTATTATTATTATTATTATTATTATTTTCCTAGAGTCACCTAATTTATTATATTTCTATTTATATTTGGTTCTCTTAAATCTTCTCATAATCACATATCTTCATGACTTATCACTTATGTGCAACTTACATTTCATTCTTATATATCACAATAAACCTTGGCTTAATTTTTCTATAAATAGCATATACTTACATGGCTTTTCTTTTATAAGCATACTATTACATAACTTATTTTATGCTTTCCCATTAATATATAATAATATTTTCATAAATCATGTATCACACACAAAACATATCAACATACAGCGCATATAATCATATCAACATATAGTGCATATAATCATATCAAACCATGCTCATGTTCATGACTTCATGCATTCTACTATAGGAAATAGACTCATCGCGAGTCATATTTCCATTAACACAAGATATCAAAAGTATGCACTCACCTTGCCTCACTAGTCAATATCGATCTCTTATATATTCCCCCGATCGATCTTACTTGTCAATGGTTCCATAACTCGTTTAGGTTCTGTATCTTTGCTTATGGCTTCACGTGAAGAAGAAGAAGAAATGAGAAGAAGAGAACTCTGGAGAAATCTCTCATCTTCCACGTGGTTATCTTATCTTATAATGGAAAATAAAAATCTTACTCGTCAAATGATCATTTTACACTTTAATTCATTCAATAATTACTAAACAACCTTCATAAAATATTTCCAATAAGTCATTGAACTATTCAATTATCATACTTTAATCATCAATTTCTGAAATTTTCCAATCTAATCTCTAACCCGGTGTTGAGGATGTTACATATATATAAGCATATGTCATAAACTTATACATAAAAAGGAAAGTATTTAATATTCATTAAAGGCTTATTATAAAAATCAAAAAAAGAAATTAGATACACACACGTATAATGTATAAACACAAATACACATATATACTTACAATGACTAAAATAAAGCAATACGAAAATATAAGGACTAGTCGGAATAAATAAAAGTCACATGGGTCATCGGAATATTGATCCATATCATTTCATGAATTTTCAACCAAAAGAATGAACAAAATGAAATCAAGGAAAAATTACAATACCTAGAAGCATAAATAAAACATTTTCGAACATGCCATAATACGGACTAAAATGCTATAAATTAAAATTACTAAATCAAATCACCTTTAACCAAAGTATATAAATAAGAGGCATAGTGACTAAAATATAAACACAGAAAATTCATAGATTGAAATCATAAAATCAAAAGTTGTATTTAGTGATTAAAATGAAAATATTACAAACATTATATGGCCTAGAACGCGATTAGCCCATGCGATGGAATCCAGAAACCATAACACGAAACAACATAGTTTTGGTTGAGGTCTAAATACCTCATTTTTCTCATTTTTTCCAACTTTCCTTTCATTTCTTCTTTCTTTTTTTTTCCTCCTTCTCCCCACTCTTTCTTCTCTATCAGACCTCAGCGAGAGAGACCATCACCGATCTCCGTAGTAGCCAGCTCTGACAGCCGTACGGCACCGTTCGTCGTCGTCTTTCGACGGTTTTTCGAGCCCAAATTTTATGGGTTGCATCATCTCAACACCCCGAGAACGAATCCAGAGTTTGATTGCCTCCAAAATGAATGGAATGGCGTAGATCTAAGAAAACCTTTTCGGTTTCTTCTCTTTTCGGTGACCCTTCTTTTATTCGGCGAAGACTAACGAGGATAAGTCTCTTCTCTCTTTCTCTTCCTTCCTTTCTTTGTTTCAAATGCTCTCTGCCTTCTCCCGTTTCTGTTTTCCCTTTTTTTTCGAATCCTCTGATTGCTCTCTCTGTATTCGCTTCCTCTTTCTCTCCGAACTGGTTCATCTTCTCAAAATGGTTGTTATCCTCCTCTTTATCTTCTTTCTGCTGATGGACGTTGATTTACCCTTGTATTTTCGAGAAACTAGGTTATGATTATCCCTATTTTGGCAGTTGATAGTCTTGGATTTGATTTCTTGAGTAAAATATATATGTGTTTGTATTTTATATATTTTTCTACTGATTTGGCCTCATTTTCTCGATTGACTGGTGATGGTTGATTGAAACGGAGGCGTCGACAAGTGCCAAAAGTGGCAGTAATGGGAGAGGCTCGGTCTGGTGACAGCGGCGGAAGCTGGCTCAGCTTGGACGGCGACGGCGGCATAGGCGTCTTCTCTTCTGCTGGCTGCGAGGGTGGCTAACTCTAAGTTAGGGTTAACGTAAATGTTAACATGATGGGCCATTAGGGTTTGCAATTTGGGCCTATCTTGTAATCTGTATAAATAAAAAAATAATAGCATTAATAATATTATTAATAATAAAATAAATAAAAACAATTATAACCCGGACAAAAACGTGTGTTTACAACAGTTACATGCCACGTCAAATAATACTAACGAGGACTTTACTGAAAATAAATTTTAAGTTCAATTGTATTACAAGTTTTAAAAATTGGGTGATTAAAATGTAATCATCTTAAACAATCGGTGACAATTTATGTAGTTTACTCTTTTTTGTCATAGCAGTACACTGTACACTAAATTGAAGCACTTGCAATAGTTTCTTGCAACTTCAACCGGAGGGTGATGATCTATCTCACTGTCCTTCCAGGAACACGCTAGAAAATTTTCAACTTTATTCTTCTTGCGATTAATTTAATGCACGCAAACAAATTTTCCATCCACGCCCCAGTAGTGTTAGTATCAATTCCACTAGTGAAGAAGCTATGATGGAGCTGATTTTTTCAGTCAGGATTCCTGAGTTTCAATTTCGACCTTTCTAAATCCCAACCTCCAAGCATGACTTAGAGCTTCATGGATTGCCCATAGTTCAGATTCTAGTATCGAACAAGTCCCCAAACTCTGGGAGAAGCCAAACATCTAACTTCACACAGTCTATGCATATAATAGATTTGAAACAACATAATAATTTTAAAATATAACTTCTAAAATTTTAAAAATTATATATTATTTTCAACAACTTTTTTGTTGTTACTACAAGATTTCAAAAAACATCCATTGATTTTAAATTATAAATATTAACTTTTAACGCAATCTTCATAAATAAATAAAATCCTCTTTTTCTTTTTTATAAAATGATAAGTGTAATTTATTATGTTTAATAATTACATTTTTAATCTGTTATCTAATTTATCTAATTACTTTTTTATATTTTTGTAATCATATAAAAGCAACATAACAATATTCAAAATTTTAGAGGACTTTATGCTTTGACTTTTAATCCTTTCGACCTTTCAAGGCCTAACTCCCAACCAATCCGAACATCACGTGACCTCGAACCTACACAGATTTCTCCACGCGTCATACTAGCCATCCAATAAATGTAGCTAGTTAAAATTAAAAATTTCCCATCAGTCCTTGTATTTTAATAAATTTTGCGATTTCATCATATACTTAGAAAAGCTAGGGTAAACTACATTAACGGCCACTAAATTTTAGAGTATTTCATTTTGATCACCAAACTTTTAAAATACATGGATTCTACTATTGACATTTGGGGCTCGTAAAGTTTAAGATTTTAATTTCGTTTATAATTTGAAGAGATTAAAAGACGTTTGGATGAGTTTTAAGAAATAGAGGAAATTAAATGATCTTTTCATCAGGATAGGCCATTTAACGATGATAAAAAGATGACTGCTAACTACCGATTTGAATAAAGAAGCTAAGCATTTTTTAATATCATGTTAGTTTTTTCTTTACGACATCTAATAATTGTGACAACAATGAAAACAAATAAAAAGTTTAACTATTATAATATAAATTTTAAAAGTTTAGTGACCATCCATATAATTTACCTAAAATAAAATTCACCTAATCTCCCTGTTTATAAATTATAATCCAAAACTCATTGAGTTCTATAAAATAGAATGTTATTCTCTCTAAAGGACCTGAGTTCGAGTTGCTATGTCTGAAGGATATATGTGCGATGTCAATAAGTTAAGAAAATTATGAGCATATACTATCTTATAGTCGCTCCAAACTATTTAAAATAAATAAATCTCAATCCAAATTGATATTTTCTATCAAAATTTGGTAAAGTTACTATGTTTGTTATTTGTTTCATGACTAACAATAAAATTAAAATTTTAAGAAGTATAGGGACTTAAATTACTAAATTATAGTATAGGGCTAAACGGACAATTCAAATATAGAACAAAATTTGATTTAAGAAATTAACCTTTAATTTTGAACTTGTTAAATACAAGTATTATAAATAAATATTTCCAAAGCACAGGGACTGATAGAATATTTTGTCCCAATCATAAAACCACTCCGCATGACTTTAAAACCAAGCATCTGTCCTATTCTTCTTTTGGTATAAATTATAAATACATGTTTTCTGTTCCTCGTTACCATTTTCTTTCTTTTTATTCCTTGCTTTAATCTTCCATTTTTTTCTCGGAAAACTCAACGAAGTTGGAGTATGAGTGAAGATGAATGGGTCACTCAAGCTTTGACTGATTCCACGTTGGCGGCAAAGGTCTTACTCAGTCTTTTCCAACCGGTGTCTCCACCGTCGCGGTCAGGCAACGCCACGTTCAAAGCTTTACAACTCGAGTGGAGAGTCCGTCAACGCCGGTCCAAGCAATCTCTTAAGAAGAAAGCCGAGCCGACTCGTGCCAGCCCCAACACGCCGCTTTCTTGGAGCGGTGGCGTATCTTTTAGTGGAAGCGGTAGTTGTGACGGCTACGAGGAGTCTAGCCGTCCTCCTTTGAAGCCGGTTGACAACTCTAGATCTAAGGTTCGCGTCTTTTTCTTGTTCTTTTTCTTTTTCTTTTTGTTAGGACTCAGTGAGTCGTGTTGTTGACTCTGGTTTCAAGTTCGGTAGTTTCTCTTGCTGTCGCCGTGTCGTATTTTCAGTGAGTCTATATTCAGGGCTTCAGCGTAATTTGACCTCAGATCGAGCATCGTTTCCGGTAACCGGATAGATTTTTCCCCTGCGTTGACCGAAATACCCTTTTCTTTTATTCTTCGATGATGAATCCCGGTGACTTCCATTCAACGCATAGATTCATTTTTTTTGGTCTTTTCATCATCCTCGCAATGATACTCGTGTCGTCCACTTGTCGAAAAGTCTAAAAAAACCCTTTTATCCGTATTTTTCGACAATTTTAAATCGAATTGAATCAAACCTTTTTAATATTTTATAAAATTTAGTTTTCTCTTTTTATCGAGTTGAGTATCCGATATTGATAAATTAAAATGACGAAATTGTCTTTGAGTAATAGTCAAACCAATGGGAATTTCCAAGGGGTAACATGGTGAAAAAGAAAGATATAATCGGCCTGAATTATCGGGGTGGCGTATCATCGTGGCAAAATAGGTTGTTTTGCGTGTGGTTTAGGGTTAGTGGCTTTCAGCCTTGTATGTACTTCAAAAAATGCGTTCTGTTTGAGTGAGGGTAATTATCCAATGTGGTAGCGACCACAGAATTTTCTCTTTGATCTGACGTGTCATTCACTGGGTACGCATGACAGTGTTTTTGCTTCTTTTGATTGGGCAGTGATTGTGGGGGTGACAGGCTGTAGTTGGAGAAAAAAAGTATGCCCCTTGGTGGTAGTGGCAAATGGCATACAAAGTGGAGACAATATAAAATTAGGTGGAAACTCACTATGTGGGGACCACTTTTGCCACCAAATTTAAGGCATAAGCCAGACATTTTGTTTGCTGGTTGGTTATTAGTTGGCTCTACCAAATCCTGAAATTATCTCTCTACCTCTGGTTATATTTATCGAACTATTAAAAAATGATTATTATAATAATTTTTTATTAATTAAATAATAATTTTGTCATATTCTGATACAAAAAAAAATTTATGATTAGCTTATAAATTTAATAACTAAAATGATCTTTTGAATATATTTCAACGGGGTTTAATTACTTTAAGTCATTGTGATTTAGGTTAGGATTGAAATTTTAAAATTAAAAGAATAGAAAAAGTAAAATGATCAAATCAAAACATACTTGGGTGGCTGATGACAAAATTTGACCTAAATATTATTGACTTGTTTATATTCCCTTTACTCTTGTTTTTTTTATTCAGGTTGAGACGACAAACGAGATAACTCCTCCCAAGCGGTTTAGAAGGAAAAAGGTGACCTCTTTCAACAATTTTGACCTAATACTAATGTTTACTTTTTTTTTTATTTGGTCTAAGGTTTCGAGATTTACATTTGGTCTTGATCACGATGATGTCAGGAATTTTATATTAAAATTAAATAAGTATATTTTTAAGAGGATCAAAAATGTAATTTTCACGACTCGACCAAGATATTGCAAAGGATTAAGTTAATTTTTTAATTTTTTTAAAAGGGTTAACCATGGATCTCTGAACTTCCTTTTTATTCATTTTAGCCCACAGATTTCGATTTTCACCTTTTTTTAATCCTTTTGTTGACACAGCATACTCTAAGTGTACTACTTGACATAATCTTGGAGTACCAGGTCATCAAAAGGAGTAAAAAGGAAAATTTTATCATGTTCGAGAACTAATGTGGACAAAAATGTTTAGGAACCAAGTTGAGAGAAGTTGCCAAATTTAGAGACTAAACTATTCTCTTGGATTTGTAATTTTTTTTTTGGCAGACACTAGCTGAACTTAAGGAGGACATAAGTTCACACTTAAAGGAAAACAAAAGTTTGAAGAATGTACGTTCTTTAACTTCTTATGCAAGTGTTCTCTGCCGCCTTTATATATCTCAATACTTGTATTTGGAACATCTCTTTCTTATTTTGAAATGTTTTCCATTGAACAGGAACTGGAAATGGTGAAGCTCAAATTCCAGAATGTCAGAACCGAAAACGAAACGTTGAACAGAAAGCTCGAATTCGAGAAAGCGAGAGCCTCAAATGAAAGCTCCAAGAGAATGAAGGTGAAAGAGTTTTCTCCTACTTTTGGGACATTTATGAGTGTGTTGTTTTCTGTTAAGCCTTCATATGTTACATGATATGAAGCAAAGCTCTCTGCATGTGGCTTCCAAGTACTGATTCTCACTCTCGTTTCTCTCTACTCGACAGTTCGATTATCACTCGCATCTGCATCCGAACGATGCAATATCAGAGGTACACCAACAAAGAGAAGCAACTTGTCATGCAAGCATAGCGTGCAACGAAGACAAACCGCCTATGCCTAATCGACGTTCCGAAGGATGGAATATGGGAATGGCAAGCCGCAACGAAACGTCCTTTGAGCTGCCGGATCTCAATCTTCCTGTAGAGGATGGTTCGGGTTTTTGAAGTTTGTGGATGGAAAATAAGTGAACATCGTTATCTGATCAACAATTCTTTTTGCCCACAAAGTTAAGTGGTAGCTAAAGCATTAACATAATAGTCGTAATGGTTGTAAGTAGTAAAAGTTAATTAATTAATTGTTTAGATTAAAGAATAGAATGGATAATTCTTTGTATTTGCCGGTTTCAACTTTTATCTTAAATTCTTTTGGGGCTAACACTTGAGGAATTGTTTTTAACTGATAATTAATTAATTAATTGCAATTATTGTTTAGATTACTGCATCTATACGATTTTATAACAATTATTTATACGATTGTATTATCCTGAATAATTTTCAAGAGTTGTGACTGTGGCTACAAGGCCAGATCAGAAACATCCAGTACCTTGCCACGCAACGGCTTCCTATATACATCAGTCATGATCATCATCCGGGATTTAAATTGCATCTATGGTCTTGTTCTCGTTCGTATTGCTTTTATTATGATTGTGACAATAGTATGTGTTACTATGGTTATTACGGATATCATGGTTGTGCAATAACAGTTTCGGACGTTACTTTTACTGTTATATAACAGTCGTTATTCCACTGGTGGACGGTTTTATAAATCCCTGAACACGACTAATGTAATTGAGGAAGTCTAATTCAACTCTCACCAATAATCTTTACATGAACTTGAGCCAAGCTGGAAATGATGGAACCGAGTTTGGTCTCGAATGATCACTTCTCTATCGTACAACTTCGACCCTAGTTTCGCCACGATGTGAAAATCTACACACATTCTAAGGTTCTTCACTATCCTTAAGGTAACCCCAGGTTCCGAGCTAACAAGCCCGAAGGCTAATGCTAGCTTTTCGTTGTGCCTGTACAATGTGCTCTCCTTATCCTCCTCCCCCATGTCAAGGAAAACCTCGGAAGTGTCCGGAGAATACCCAGCAAGTTTTAAGTCCCTTGTCATGCTATCTAACTTCAAGAAAATTTCTCTTGACTGAGGATGTGAACGGTCACCGGCAACAAATTCGTGAACAACTCCATTCATCTCAATCAAACTGCAGCCTGGGGTCTTCTTGATTCCTCTTTGCATCATTGACTCCCTTAGTTCATGCAGATTATCCCATCTTTTGCAAGATGCATATATATTGCACAATAGAACATAAACAGCCCCATTTCGGGGTTCTAATTCGAGAATCTGTTTAGCCATCATTTTGGAAATTCCAACGTCTTTATGAACTCTACAAGCACCAAGAAGAGCTCCCCAAACAACTGTATTTGGTTCCATTGGCATATTCTTTATAACCTCGCAAGCTTCTCGCAAATGTCCCGCTCGACCTAGAAGATCAACCATACACCCGTAGTGCATTACATTGGGTTCAATCTCATGTTCGGTAGTCATGCTAGCAAAGAACTTCCGTCCTTCATGTACCATGCCGGCATGACTACAGGCACAAAGAACACCAATGTAAGTTATCTCATCTGGTTTTATAGAAGCTCTTAGCATTTCATAGAACATACCAAGAGCTTCTTCACCATAGCCATTAATAACAAGGCCAACAATCATGGCTGTCCATGCAAATTTGTCCTTTCGTGGCATGTTGGAGAATACTCTTTGCGCTTTTACGACACTACCGCATTTGGAATAAATGTCAATCAAAGCATTTCCCAGAAAGACATCATTCTTGACCTTGTTTCTGTCAATATAGATCTCGATCCATTCTCCTATCTGTAATGCCCCGAGATGAGCACAAGCTGTGAGAATATTCACAATAGTGTACTCATCCGGCCGTATATTCGATGATTGGATCTGTCGGAACAATACCAAAGCCCCTTTAAAACAATTCACTCTAATATATCCGTCGATCATTGCAGTCCATGAAACATTATATCTTTCGGGCATTTGATCGAAATAACTTCTTGCCAAATCGATGCCTCCCTTGTTTATAAACCCTGAAGCCATTGTAGTCCATGAAATCACATCCCTTGTTTTCATCCTATCGAAAATCGCAACCGCTACATCCATTTCTCCACAAGCTGCATACATATCCATCAAAGCATTATCCAAAATCAACCTACGTTCTATCTCGCATCTTTCAATATAGTTGTGAATCCGCTTGCCGGCCTCCAAATCTCTCAATTTAGAACATGCCGGACAGCAACGAAACCAAAGTAACCGAAGAAGGAACCACTCCATTCTTCTCCATCTCGTCAAAAAGCTTACATGTTTCATCGTATCGCTTCATTCGATTATATCCGGTTATAATCACATTCCAAGTAATCGCGTCGGTTTTACGACTAATATCGAAAAGCCGACGTGCCATTTCCCTTTGACCACACAATGAATACATGTGGATCAAAGCATTTTGCACAAAGACAATAGAACATAGCCCGAAATTCACCACATGACAATGCAACTGTTTCCCGCATGAAAACCCAACATTCCTGTGGAAACCCTTGAGAAGGAAAGGGAAGGTGTAATTATCAGGCTTAACATTCTGTCTCAGCATGTTTAGATACACTGAAATCCCATGTTTTGGAGAATCAATCCTAGAGTAGCCTTTGATCATTGTGTTCCAAAGGAAGACGCTTTTCAATTCAGGAATTTGGTCGAACAATTTGAGTGCATGGTCCATGTCGCCGGCTTTGTTCAAATAGCAAAATGAAATAGCTTAGTTGTGGAAGACAGGTGCTTTTGCTAGGCCTAATGTTATTGTTCGGCATGGGATTTGTTTGAGTTGGTCCATGGATTTGCAGGTCTCTACAATAGAGAAGGGTGGGTGAAGATGATGGGTAAAGCGGGTAGAAGCCATTCAAGATTGAATCCTTGGGAAACTATTTGGAGTGGTTTAGGAAAATGGGAGATATTGAAATTGGCATTAGAATTGTTTTATTTGCTTTGCATGAAAGATGAAACCATAACGCCAAAGAACTGAAAATGAAAAAAGAGAAGAAGCTCTGAAGCGCCGATAATCGTCTAGAAGATATCAGACGGTTGTGAAGAACCCTATTCCTTCAACAGAACGCAGTCATCGTCATCGCTTCTTTGATGGGCTAGCCGGGAATCGAAGCCGGGTCCATACCGTGACAGGGTAGTATTCTACCACTAGTGCTTCTTTGAAGCAATTTGTTGAGGTAGATTATTTTTCGTTCTCTTTAAATTTGAAATGAGGAAAATATATATTTAATTTAAATTTGCACCAAATCAGATTTAAAGCTTATAATTTTTTGATTAATTTGAAGTAAATACAAGTTAGTATATATTCAAAGACTCTCAACTATTTGACAATTAACACTCGTACTCTCTGCATACGTCGTGCTCGAACATGATATCTCAAAGAATAACAATCTCTCAACCTTTAAAGTCACTTGATTTACGTCAATCTTATAATTTAAATTAACAACACAATGATTAATACGATACGATGCAAGTTCTCCCTCATAAGTGAAATCGATACGTTTGTGTTCCAGATCGTATTAAGGTGACCCGAGGGAATGAGACTTCAAATTAGAATTAGAATTTTGTTTGAAATGGTGCATAAGTGGTAGTCTAGGGGATAAAATATAGGTAAAATATACAAATGAACATTAATATTCGAGTAAGTTTTCGTTTTTTCCATTGAAGTTTTAAAAATAATAAATTAATGAGTAATTTTATCTATTTGTAATAAATTAATCACTAGCCGTTAACAACGTTACTGAGAGTAATAGAAATATGATGTGGCGCATTAAACCGATGATTTGGCATCATTTTACCACACAAGACAACCACATAAAAAGGGGTTTGACTCCCCCAAAACTTTTAACTGGTAACCTCCAACAGCTCTGCCTAATATCTTCTTCATTCTCAAACTCCCACCGTGTTATAAAATGCAAATAACACAGAAAATGGTTTTGAGATAAACCTTTGCCCATTAATTGATACCTCCACCACCCCCTAGTTTGTAGCCGTTGACTTCGTTATCGTTAAATTCTAGTCAGTCACCGTTCATCCGTTACCCATCATCATCCCTCTCGGTCTCTCTCACTCTGTGTTAATGAATTGCTAATGCAATTACTAATTTCTCACTATTAGCCCTCAAGCTCTTAACCTTACTCTGTCTATATCATGGAATACAAATTTCACCTCATGAATTAAGCCTAATTCTTGTCCTTTAACACGTCATGAGTTTTCTCTATATCGGGTGAGTATCGTCACCGCCATAAAAAAAAGTGGACCACCTTGTCAACCTCCACCTAACAACGCCCTGCCTATGAGATCTTTAGCTTCTGCAAGCATCCATCTCGACCAAGAACATCAACCATGCAGGCTATTCCGGCAGTAAACCTTCACTACCTTGTTTTTTTATCGGGATTGATGAATTTTATTTGACTTAAGTTTAGTTTTGATGGTGAGCTCAAAGAGACAGCTATTTAAGAATGAGTCCAATAGAAGCTGGCCTTATTATGCTATTTCTTCTGTCCTTTTGTTTTTGGTGCATTCTTCTTCTTCTTCTTCACGTTGGGGTTAGCTTGTCTTCCGGAAGGAATCTAATGTTTGTTATTAAAAGCCTAGCACATCAAATTTAACTCTCCTAAAATAAAATTGTATTCTACTCTTGTGTAACCCACTCTTTCACAAAGTGCTATGCGGAAGTTACATAGTTTACTGTGCAGTTTTTAAAATTTCTTTGTTTCATGGCAGCGGTAGTGGTCTTCCATGTCATTTTTTATTTTTTTATCGGATTTTCAATAATAATTTTCCTTGGCTTTTTTTCTAGTAAAGGTATCATGGCTACCAGTGTTTTAGATTCTCGTTGCAGATTTTTGTTATTGGTATTCTTCTTGGTCTTTTGTTTTTCACTGAATACATGATTGATTGCTTTCCCGATGCTCGGTTCCTCTGTTCGTTTGTACAAGACGGTTCGTTTGCTAACGTATATATGTGTCGGATGTGATTACTGTTAAGGGGAGATCACTTTTTCCGTTGGCAATTTTGGTTCTTCTTCAAGTTTCTCTCCTCCATGTTTTGAGCATCAAAGTCGTTGGTGTGTGTCAGTTTCGTTGCTCCACTTATTAATTGTTTTGTTTATCAGACTACAAGACGGTTCGTTGGCTAACGTATATATGTGTCGAATGTGATTACTGTTAAGGGGAGATCACTTTTTCCGTTGGCAATTTTGGTTCTTCTTCAAGTTTCTCTCCTCCATGTTTTGAGCATCAAAGTCGTTGGTGTGTTCGGTTTCGTTGCTCCACTTATTAATTGTTTTGTTTATCAGACTATCACTAAGCGATCATTGTTATATTTTAATTTCGATAGTTTTGAATGTATTTGTTTAGTCTTTGATACGACTTTCGATAAATGAAATATATTGGTTATTTTCAACAACAAAAAAACTCTCCTAATCCTACCATTTTCCTTATTATTTAGAATACTTAATTTCTATAAATAATATATATTCAAAGAACAATGAAAGTGGCGTTGGTAAAAGAGATGTACTAGTACGTTGAAGTTGGCGTTGTGGGGCGTGCAGGGAGAGAGGGCTATCGGTGCCGCTGTGATTGTTTCACACGGCCATGCATCTTTGCCCAGCTCTTTAAAGAATATCATATTTTATAATGAAAACTTTTATCATGTGATAAAAGTTCAGTGTTAGTTAAATTGAAAGGTGAGGGAAGCTCAGGTGAGTTATAGAATGAGGATAGTGGTGATATATCAAAGGGTGATGAGGCAATTGGTGTTTTGGGTTTGGGGTTTCAGCGAGGGTTCGATTTGGTGTTTGAGGGAGAGGTGTTGAGGGATAGTCGATAGTGTGAGGGTCCTTTTTCTATGTCGATGAAGTGTTAACTTTTGTTGTTGTTGTTCATCTCCTTTTTATCTTGTGTTTTTGTATTTTATAATTAGGTGGGAGCTTGACAGCCAATGAGAAAGATATCGGACAAAGCCAATGAAGAAGATATTAGGCAGAGTTCGTCTAGTGTCGAAGGTTATCTGTCAAAAGTTTTGGAGAGTCAAACCCCCTTTATGTGGTTGTCTAGTGTGACAAATTGATGTTAAATCATCGGTTTAACACGCCACAGATTTTCGTTCTTTCAATAACAACTATTAATGATCAGTGATCAATTTATTACAAATAGTTAATGTTAGTATCCGATGTAACACCGTTAAGCCATATATGTACCTAAATACAAGTAAAAAATGTCACATAACATTTACAAACATACTATAGTGAAAATCAATACAAATTTAAATTTTTAAAACTTATCCAATTTAATCCTTCTAATAGAATAATATAATCATGTAAAATCATAGTATAATATTTAAACATCCAAATCAGTATCAGTTTCAGAAATCAACTAGACAGTTCTATACTATTTCCTATCATAAAGTAAACTGCCTAATAATTGTCTAATTTAAAAAATTTCTTTATTTTAATAAAATATAACTAAATCTAAAACACAAAACTTAAATTCGTATTTATAACCATAATAACATATCTTAGACTTTTCTTATTCTTCTATATGCCATCTAGAAAATTTAAAATAGTAGAATGTATCACTGATACTTGTAACTTTTCTTTATTGATTAATGGCCGCTCAACTCCTTACTTCACTTGCTCTTCTTAATATATACACTTACTGAGGCACTTTGTGAGGCATTATAAACAAACTAAGGTGATATCAAATATAAAACAACTTAATAATATTATATCAATTTAAAACATTAAACTTGAATTCAAATAAAATCATTAAATATTCAAACCGACTTATTCAAGTTGCTTTTCCCAATCAGAAACCTTAAAATCATCTCAAGATTTTGTCAAAACCATGATAATCAATATCAAACATAATAATTATGTCATATTCTTTTTCTCATTTCAGTTCTATAACCAATACTTTTACACTTCAGAATTCATTTTTAGATTCAAAATTGATTTCCAAACTCATAATTTACTTTCATATTTGTATCTTTACTTTAGATTCATAGCCCAATGCATATTTATGAAAATTCAAAGTACATGAGTCAGATGAGTGTACACAATAAGCGCTTCATGGTGTTGTCATCAGAATCAGAATATGCACTCCAAGTGCTATACCAAATGTACCAGATCAAAATCAGAATAACTCCACCTCATAACATGTCAATTGTACCTACGACTCTCAATGCAACATACAATAGGCTTTCAGATCATATCATATTCATTTAATAATCATTATTCCCAAATCAGATTCATTTTTAATTCATCATCATAAAAACATAACTTGAGCAGTTCATGCCTTAAATCATCCATAAAATCTTCACATAAGCATTTAGGAAATATTCTATCATTAAAAAAATAGTTCTTCATAATCATTTCGTAAAATCATTCGGATATCGTTTCAAAAAATATCATATAAAATATATTAGGTAATTCACACCAAAAAATCATTCATAAACTTTTATATAAGCATTATGGAAATATTACATAATTTCATACTCTAACAGTTTGCACTACCTTCAAAAAAATATTATTATGTATTAATATACACACTAAAAAATTATTCCAATTAGACAACTGAAAACTAGACTCAAATACAAATCTAACCATATAAGACAGTTCTTCTATTTCAATTTGTACAATTTATAGTGAATTTCCAAAGCTGACTTATAGAAATTGTTTTTTAGCAGAATTTGCTGCTATGTTTTCTTGCCTATCATTGATTAAAAATTTATATCTTTTCGGATACTCCAAGAAATCAGTAGTCGTTTGTTTTAAATGAAACTAGACTAATATAAGAATTAAACGGTATAAAAATAATCTTCTAATCATTTTTTTAGAATTTATGATGATTTTCTAAACTTACTGTTCAGCTCACAAATCTATGTAGATTTCACTAATTTGCATCCCTGGCTTATTTATTAATTCTATTAGCTTACCAAATGAACATATATGCATGAATAACAAAAATTTCATAACATTTAGGAGTCACTTCTTATCATAGCAACTTCGTCACTGGCTCATCGCAAGTCAATGTTTGCACGATAACATAAATACGAATCAAATATGCACTCACTTGGTGTCCTTAACTTGTAAACCTTCCTTAGTAATGCAAATTCATCCTTAAGCTTCTCCTTAGCCTTCTCCTTAGCTTTAATATTGCTTGATCTTGATTTCAAACATAATCTAAATGGACACCATTTACAAAACATATATATATTTTAAATCACATGTTAGAATCTTATTAACATAGACACACAATAGAAAAATAAATTCTTAAAATTCTTTTGGTAGTCATTCGATATTAATTCCTTGTTACAACATAAATGTTGATCTTAAAGCTTCAAATTAACCTTTCAAGTCCCTTTTTATCCATATTCATCACTAAGGCACACAATATTTTCAAACTTCACATTTTGACCACTAATTATGAATTCTTTTTGAATTCATTTCAACTTTTCCAATTAATTCGTAATGTTCTTCACCATTATGATCACTTCAAATTAATTACTAAAATTTCCAGCATATAATTCCAGCAAAATACCTCAACATTTACACCATTTTCACTCAAGTCACTAATTTTCCCATATTTGTAATTTAGTCCTCAAACTTCACCAATTTTCCAAAATGATTCAAATTTACATTCAAACATCAAATTCAACATTCTAAATTTCAGTTCCAGCATAGTACATCATCTTTTTAACATTTTCATATTAATCCTTTAACTATTCATAATTTTTGAATAAGTCCCTACACTTTCACAATATTATAAAATTGTCCCAAAAACTTTCTAAAACTTGTAGAATCCTTCCTACATTATTTCCAGCCCTTGTATCATTTTCCCATAATTTTTCTCACCTCAAAACACCATGGTCGAATTTTATAGGGTAGGATTTTCATGGTTTCCAACTTGTTTCAAGCATGGATTCAACCTCTAAACAATATTTCAAAGCTTCTTCAATCAAACCCCTAATACAATTTATCCAAAGAACAAATTCTTCAAAACCCTAGGTTTAGGCCGAACATGATTAAGCTTGATTTTAAGTGCTTTAATCATCACACATTCTTTAGAAATAATCTATAACATCAAAAACATAATGATCTTCCATCAAATCTTCAAAATCAAACATGTCTTCATAAACCCTACTCTCCAATCTCATCATATAAGCATGATTTTCATGTAATTTTAGACCAAATGATAGAGAATTTCAAGAGGATTAATTCTCTCTTTAATAGTTAAATCCAAAAATCAATCAAAAAATCCTAAAAATAAAAATAAAAATTTCTCCTTACCTAGCTATGGGGTGCACGACTTGAGCAAGAATAAGGGCTGAAAATTCTTGATTTCTCTTTATAATTAACATATACGCTTGTCTTAATTTAATATAAATGAATTTAAAATTCATTTAATTAGAAATTACCATTTTAACCTTACTAAAATATGATAATTTCCACTTTGCCATTGCTATAACATCATCCACGACACCGTCTTATCTATATCATCTTCAAAGTCAAAGATGAACAAATAAAAATCCACTTTCCACCTTTGCCCTTCCAAATTTTCAAAAATTACAATTTAGTCACTAAGTTTTCCAATTTCGGCTAAATATGGAAAATCGACTTCAATTCCACTGATCCACATTAAATTTCACTGTTCTAAAATTTTTAAATAATATTTCAAACCTTTATCTATCATCCTTCAAATTTTCGTGAAATTTCGATTCGATCTGATTATCTAACTCTATACTGAACTTTACTACCTTATAGCTTTTAATACAAATCATGTAATGAAATTATGATTACCACAAAAAAGTCATTCTTGGAGATCATCTATTCATTTATGGAATAAATTTTTCAGGAAATTTTTCTATTTGATCTATGAACTTTTCTATACTTTATACTTTGGCCACTAAACTTTCAAATTTTACATTTTGGTCACTAACCAAAATTTGGGATATTACACCCAATTTGTTACAAACCGATAATGTTTGTGACCAATTTGTTACTTTTAAAACTTCAGTGAGAAAAATAAAAACTTACTCAAACATTAAAGATCATTTGTGTAATTTACCCGTAAAATATTAGATGGAGTACAACTGATAGATTTGATAAGTATAAAAATTTGGGGATGGATTGTGACGCACTACCTATATGGAAATAGGAACCAACGATATGCTAAGATAGATGAGTGTCGTGATAAATTTAATAGAGATTTAATAGAATTCACAAGTCAAATTTGATAAGTCAAACATAAAAGTAAGACAAACTAAATTTATATTTCACTAAGAAAATTGATAAGTTCAACTTTTACAAAATAAAATTTGATGATCCCTTTATAGACTTACATAAGATAGGTAAAATGATGGATAAATTTAATTAATTTGGGTGCATTTCTAAGGCTTAGACGTCTAATGCATAAATGATTAGGTGAAGGATCGCTTTTGATGCTTTAATGAACTTGATAGATGAATGAATGAACTTACATACATATTATCCATTCATGTATTTGGGACTTCAATGGATGTTCTTAGACTTCAAATCTACATTTTTGATCGCATATATATGTAGGAGATGAATGGTTGTTGTAGCCATGCATTTGAAGAGGTGAATGTGTGAATTTAAGACTTGTCTAAGAGTCTCCAAGCTTGTATATATAAATAACCAATTGAATTCTTTAAACCCCTTGCTATAAACTTCCCTATGACATACATCGTTCATGTCAAGTGCGTAGGCTCTTGCATTCATAAATCAAGTAAAAAAAATGAAGGAAAGCACCAACCATGAGTGGATTGTCAACATTTTTCGTAATGAAATTTCAGTCTACGTTGTCTTCAATAAAATTATCATATCTCAAGTTTTCGATAAGGGATTGATGTGATTCGGAATGCATTAGAAAGCTAAGAAATAAAATAATAAGTTGCAAGAGAGTTAAAGACCTAGATATGTTCCGATCTTACCCAAAAATAGAGGACAAGCTGACTGATATTTTTAATCTTAAAATGAGAGCTTCAAACATGAATAATTGTTGTCCAAACTTGACATAGTGCACTTAAACACATAGGAATGTCATTCAAGCTCCCAAGTTCTTCATACACATGTACATGTTTGCTTTAATGTTTGGACCGACCAGTCAAATCAAGATGTCATGTTCATGAATGAATATAATGAACACCGAACCTTCAAATGTGTAACTTTTATAAAATTATAACATAATGTAAATATTTGACTAACAAGAATTCCCTCCAAATCATTGTGACATCTTCAATGGTGGATGCTCTTCTTTAGGGTCGAAGTAAGACCTCACATATTTGTAGTTGCTACAAACATAATTAATCAGGACTTTCAGATACTTTAGTTTGTTGCAAATATCTTGGATTAATCTAATACGAGCTTTTTTAGGCTTCTTGGACATAAGAATCTTGCCACCATCAAACAATCTACCGAAAACTATTGAGAACCTCTCAATACACAGTCGTGCTCGTATCAAGAAAACTACCAAAAACTTGAAATGATACGAACTTAAAAAATTAATTAAAAAAATTAACTTCATTCCACCCGATCCGGTATAATGTTAATTTTCACATATTTTTGTCAAAAAAATTCAATATTTTTTTATTTGGGGATTAAATTAATTAAATTAAAATTAAGACCAAACCAATATAATATAGAAGTAATGAATACTAAATATGTAATTATACCATCAGGTCAACACCTCTGTCAACAGCAGCTAGCTAGATTGATTGTCATCATTATTGTTGGCTAATCTTTTAATGTGCTTTGCATGATTGGGTTATCTTTAAAACACAAAAGGCCTCCAAGAACTTGAGATAAATATTTGCTTAAAATATTCAATTTAAAAAACATTCGTTTCCTCTTTTAACATATTCTGATTCTCAATTATGATTCAATAAACTAAAAGCATTCTTATTATATAATACGGAAATTCAATTGATCCACTATGGAATATGAAACTGATAAGTGTTTTCATTTAACAAACTGAGAAGTGGTTCTAAACGAAATCACCTTACCAAAGCACCATAATTCTTCACAAGTATACCAACAAAAGCAAACAGATTAAGAAGCTAATTATATGCTTGAGTGTGCTTGTTTCAAATGCATCATCAATGCATAGTTATTTTACCTGTCATGTAATACAAACAAAATACGAACATTAGTTTGATAAAAAAAAAAGAATATTGACTTGTTTCATAAATATGCCTGTGTTTTTCGGGAAAAATATAGCATAATCCAATGCCAAGTTGATAGTATTCTTTCTTTATATGTTATAGGCGATGTTTTATTCACTAAATGCAGAGCTTTGAGAGATTTCGATACCGACCTCTAAAGTCCGCAGCTGCTCCTGATACTGTGAAACCAATTGCTTCAAATGTTGCAACTCTTGGTTTTTATCCTGATACTCCTTTTGTCGTTCGTGTTGGATATAACAGCACGTTTGAAGACCGTGTTTTCTAGGATCAATGCTTCAATTTGTTCTTTTAACAAGATATTTTCCTGATAATAGAAAACACAATCAAGTTGTCCATGTGTCAGATACTAGTATGTGTGTGATAGTAGAAAGCTATAGGTAGATATGCCAAGATGGTTAAGAGATAACACCTTGTGAAAACTTTATGCTGTCCCTTCAGCAGCCTGTTTACTTATGGAATTCTCCAAAATCGCCAGCAATATAGAGGCACAGGATTTGGCATCATCCATACTTGTAGCACTCATCATCTCCCTCACAAACAAGCCCACCCAAACAGCACCATCAACAGGCAAATTTTCGGAGGCTGGTGGATTCTGAACGGTCACAGCAGCAGCAGCAGCCTCTCCATCATTTGTCAATATACCTGCAATTTCGAAGCAGGCGTGAGATTCCTTCACAAAGTAAGAACTGTCCGGCTTAAAGTAGATGGCATATTGTACATAGCACACCAATTCAACAGAGTAATTAATATTCAGGTAGCAGGCGTCAATGTAGTAAGTTTTATATATATATTTTTTGCTGAAACTGATTATAACCATAATTCAATATTGGAAGCATATGTCTATGGTTAGCTGATACAACATAGGGTGTCAAAAAATAAGATTCGTCAATTCATTCTTGTTAATATAACAATTCTGATAAGAGTTGAAAGAAGTAGCAACTAGTAGCTAAAGGATGATTTTAAAGCACTTGCATAATCTAAGGTTTTAAAGACTCCGTGAAAGTCTATATGTTTTATTCCCTTCTCATTCTGCATATAAATTTAACCATTATGTGCGTATAGAATAATCTAAAAACTACCACAGGCTAAAACTGAAGCTAGATAGCAATAGCATCATGCAATTCGAGGGTTGGAACTGAAACATTTCCGGTTCATCATAGAAACAATTTTTGCAACATCAACCATCAATCAACAATTAAACTATAATGAAAGAATTCTGAGAAAATTAATAAAAAGAAGATATTGCAGATTGATCAGAAAGTCTGCTGGCAATGCTAAATTTAAATGAATCACAATCAATAATTAGGCATATACCCTGCTCGGCAGTTGTGCCCGTTTCCTCAACAAGACATGTCTTTCCTCCTCTAGCCTCTGGCGCTCCTAAGCAAAGTTCCTGCAGCCTCTTGACAGCCGAGTCTATATCATTGCCGCATTCTCCAGAAGCTGAAAGAAATAATTGCTAATTACTAACAGAAGAGTTAAAAGCCAACCATAATAAATCTCTATCATCAATAAAGCAGTAAAAGCAGACATTTTAAAAGATATGCTCATATGCAACAGAAAAGAAGACGATAAGATAAATCTTTTAACCCACTAAAAGAAGTAATCTCATATACAAAATGAAAAAATGGCAAGTCACATAACTGATAAAGGAAACACTAACAAAGCACTGATCAAAGATCATCATACAAGCAACCAACTATAAAAAGAATTCCCAAGCGCGGTGCCAACACCAGAGATTTTCCAATTACCAGTTCCTTTCATGGCTCAAATTCACACAACTGCGTTCTAATTGTTCAGAATTTACAACTGAAATTTTCAGAATTATACCTTATTCATAAATCTTTTGAAATCCGATTTCTTGATAGGATAACAAATAAAATCTACACTTTGCATCTAATTGACTAAATACTGAAGAATTAAATACAAATTAAAAAAGGGGAGATATACCTCGAAGTCCATACGAGGAAAGAGAGCTTGGAGGTGATTGAGAGCAGATAGCGGACGAACAGAAGAAGGAGATGACGGCGACCAGCGCCGGATCTTCTTAGAGGAAGAAGCCGATGGCGGTGACGGAATATCCTCGAAGAAAACGACGAAAAGAATCAAGCTTTCTGGGCTGAAATTTTCTGTTTGGTTGATGAGAAAATGATGAATTCCAGTTTTCGGGCTTAGGTTTTTGATGATTCGTGTTTCCGACCTATATAGTGGTGGTGAACTGGTCGGGATGAAAGAAATGTTTTAAAACGGTGGCGTTTTCAGTTTTTGGTATATTTTTGAAAATGAAATGATTAGCGCGTGAGGTAGATTCTACAAGATTTTATTAACGTTAAGGTAAATAATGCGTCTAATTATGACTGTAGTCCCTTTATTAAATTCAAATCAAATATTCAATTTTTCTATTTTAATATAATATAATAATTATTTAATAATAATGTTAATATTTAATATATTACAAATACAATATGTAAAAATTATAATTCAAATTTCAATATAGAAACGGTACTTTAAATTTTCAATTTTCAATTAGAATGATAATAAATGATATGTTTATATACTAGAGTTGATTGTGTTGTACGTTCCTAAATTATGAATTTTTAACTTTTTTTTTGAAAATTTTAGTTTCATTCTCAAACCATGACTCTAATTTTAGATTAAACCAAAGCGTTTAAACAATATAGATTTATCCCCAACCTATAGCCTTTATTCTAAGTTAATCTATAAACTTTTAAACATTATAATCTCATCCTTAAACTTTTGAACGATTTTGTATATGTTATTGGAATGTTCAATAGTTTGGGGACCAATTTAGAATGGAAACTATAACTTAGGAATAAATTTGGAATATCCGAAAATTTAAGGTTCGATCTAAAATGAAAGTCATAATTTAGAGACATATGATGCAATTAGCTCTATATAATAAGAATGAACAAATATCAACCTATTGTCAAACATATTCAGACCCGAGTACATAAATATTTACATCTTTGTCTGCTACTTATTCACAACCTTAAGCTTTTTGTTTCATCACCCTACCAAAATGGTCTGCAAAGTTGTTCCCTGATTACTTTGGTGGAACCACCAGCATCTTTAAACATCCTCCTCCTCCAACCGGAATTCCGGCCGGCACCATCCCGACTATTCGGCCGGTTTTTATTCAGCCTTGTGTTTACATTACACTACGCCCGACCGATATGGTGAACTTTGTGGCTGTAACGTAATGGCAATTGTTAGTCCTAACTGTCCACGGAAATCCTCGAGATGTTGGTATTTTTCGAATATGCCGGGACAAATATCGAACGACACCAATTCTTCGGCAGGGTTGAGAAGAAACTTGTGTTCATTTCCAAAAACAGATCTACCTGGAAACTCTGCAACAAGGCATTCCAAATAACTTGCATACAAGTAATGAAGTAAATGGTCGTCTCATCCCAAATAACAAGCAATAACCTTTTAACTCAAAATGCCTGTCAAAAAAGCATCAGCTGAACTGAGATCAAACATGAAACACCCAACAGACAGCAACTGTTTTATATGACAAACCAGAACAAAAACCAAAGTTGTGACCCCACCAAACATTATCCAATAGCACTCATAAAAACATGCTTTTCCTATATTACAAGGCTAATCTTGCTGCCAATTCTAATAATGGACAGCCATTGCCACCTCCTTGATGTATTGTACAAAAGAAGAAAAAAAATACAAATTACAGAGATGCAACAATTTCACATCTAAATTACAGTCTTTTCTTGCTCGGCATCGTTCACCGGTTTCGGATCCTTCTCTACCTTAATTGTGTCTGAGTTCTCTTCGGGGGATGATATCCCGTTGTTGCAAACTGCAGACTGGGGAGTCTTGAAGACTTCATTGTTTTCTAGTTCAGCTAATTTCTCTTTGGAATCTCCCTTGAGCAGCTCAAGGACGTCGAGCATGTTGGGTCTTTTCTCGGGTCGATTATCAGCACAAACAAGTGCGACTAAGACAACCCTTTTCAACTCCTCTTCCACGTACTTCCCCTCCAGCTTTGGGTCTGCCATGTCATTGAACTTCCCCTCACAAGCTAGTGGCAGTGCCCATTCCACAATTGATCGCTTCACTGTGGTACTCAGTTTCTCGAGAGGTTTCTTGCCACTTGCTAGCTCTAGTAAAAGAATGCCGAAACTGTACACGTCACAACTCTCTGAAGCTTTTCCTAACATAGCATATTCGGGAGCAAGATAGCCGAGGGTACCCTTGACTCGGGTAGTCACATGAGTTGCACCATCAGGGATAAACTTGGCAAATCCGAAATCAGCAACCTGAGGCTGGAAATCCGAATCCAGCAACACGTTACTAGCTTTGACGTCTCTATGAATTATGTGTGGGGTTGAGTGGTGGTGAAGATAACTGAAGCAGCCAATTGAAAGAGGTTAACATAAGCATTCGTGTAGGAACAAGTTATAATCTGGAAGATAAAATCAGGTTCAACACTTACGCAATCCCCTCAGCAGAGCCGATTGCAATAGTCATCCTTCGGGTCCAATCAAGAAGGCATTCCGATGAATGCTGCCCATGAAGATGGGATTGCAAGCTCAAATTTGGCATGTAATCATACACGATCAAACGTTCTTGACCTTCAGCACAGTAGCCACGCAAACTTAGCAGGTTCTTGTGTCGAACTCTCGCTAATATCTCAACCTCAACGGAAAATTCCACTTCGGCTTTGTTGCTCCACACCTTTAATCTCTTAACTGCTATCTGTCAGCATATAACTTTCAGGGTGAAAATGAGAATGAAACCAAAATAAAGCAAGAGAAAAACTTCAGGAGGTTCTTTTGATTGTAAGAGAAACAAATATGGCATTCTGAAAGTATCATCTAAATGGTCAATATGTCATGTAGATAGCACAGGCATGTATGTGTTTAGACAAAGATAAATGCCATTTGAAGACCTAAAATTGCATCGAGTACCAAGGTGAACGTTCAACGATTTATGGCGCTCAAGCATCCAGAAAATTTCATTTTCAGATAAAATTTCCTCGAAATTGGATTCATCAATACTAGCTCAATCCAGAGAAAAGGATGGTACAACATCAAAGACAGAAAGAGATTCATCTGAAAGAGGCCTGAATAGTAATTTCTAAACTGACAAAGAAGAGTCCAAGTGTCCAACAAAGTCCAGTCCTCATCGGCCGAAGATCAAACGTTATAACATGTTATTTAATACTGTCATCAATACAAATGCCATCCTAGCGAAGTACGAACGTAATTTCAATGAAGAACTAGAAATTGAAGCATACAAGATGAACAGATGCAAAACTAAAGGTAAATTCCCAAAAGAGCATTTGCTACCAAAATTTGCCAGACCAACAATAGAATCTATTAACTCAAGTTCCGAAAAAGAAAATATCGACCCTACATAACGAAGAAAATGAGTGAACCATATACAGCATAACTATATAAAACCAACCAATCTTGCGAAATTAGAGACTAAGGATGCCAAAATATAGTAATTCACTTGTTAAAAGAACCTGGAAAGGGGAAAAAAAAATTATTCGTACTTGTGATCCATCCCATAGCTGACCCCAATAAACACTGCCAAATCCCCCTTCTCCAATCTTGTTATCATAATTAAAATTATTGGTAGCTGAATGCAATTCTTTCAACGAAAAAATCCTCCATGTCGGCTGCTTCTTTCCTTTCTCTTTCCTGCAGAATCGTAAAATGTCAGAAACTAAAACCCGAATGACAAACACAAAGCATTAGCATTCGGAAACTCAGATTTCAAAATTAGTGTGGGTTGCATGATAAAGCACATATGAAAGTAAAACATTTATGTTTATTTTTAAATCCACGGATTTATTAGATGCCTATTTGGTAGTGAATTTGAAATTCTAATAGTAATTCCGAATTCGGAAAACTTTAGTATGCATTTCATTCATACAAATTTATATAGCAAAAATTCAAATCCAAAATTTTCAACTTGATATTCCCAAACATAAATTAAGAGGCACAAAAGAACACTAATTTGACTGCTAAAAGATCCTTTTCTTACAAGATTAAGATCAACATATCCTGGTTAATTTAACTCCTAAGTATGAAAATATAAGATTAAATGAAAAACAAAAGGCTATATTAAGCTTAAATAAGAAATTTTCTAATTTTCTTTCTCAAATCAATGTTCCAAACGGGGTAGAAAGTTCAAAACTTGAGATTATCTTCTTATTTAACAATAGGAAATCAAATTATAATCAACACCCAGATAATATTCCCAAAAACCAAAAAAAAAAAGATTTCTTAAACCCTAAGAAGGCCTAAAAAGAATCTAAGACCAAAAATTCACAGAAAAAAACCACAACAAGACCAAATTTCAAAACTAATAAAACAGTGACAATAGATAGTAAATCACGGTGAACTTACCGATCCACGCCTTTCCCACAACAAAGCATAGAGCAAAACGCCATTAGCAAGTCCCAAAACAAAACAAAATAAATCCCAGACCCTTTCTTTTCCTCTTTTACCCTCTCAAAGAAAAGCAGTGCTTTTTCTCTTTTTGTTCAAACTTCAACCTTCACTGCTAAGCAGAAGATTCCGAAACGATGCCAAAGGTAACGCTTTTCAGCAGGGAGTTGAGACAGAAGAACATGCGTTTTCTTTAATTGTAATAACAATAATTTTTCCTGGGTTTTGCTTTTGCTTAGGATAGAATGTTGCAGAAGTTTCAGATAGAAATTGAGAAAAGGGAGAAGAAGAAGAAGAGTACAAGGGAATGTTTGATTCTGCTTTTATGAGATGTGTGGTGTTGCTGCTACACCAATGGCTTTGTCAATGGTCTTAGCTGGTTTCTATTCAATTTTCAAATATCAAATTTGTACCCAATTGGGTCCCATTTTCCAACTATTTTTCACTTTATTTATTTCCTTTTGTTCACATTGTCTTTGGTTCAACTACGTTAAGATTATGCAGATATTATTTTAAATTTTAAAATTGAAAATGTCATTATTATATTTTATGCTTATAATAATGAAATTTTATATAATTTCCTTCACTGAAACGCACATGGATTGGAGCTAGGTTAATCTCGGTATGAATTTTCAACCCTTTATGTTGTTAATTGCTCTCTTTCTCTTTGTGCGGAACATTTTCTCTACATTCTGCAGAGTGCATCTGGAATTATTTTCCCCATAATAAAGGCAAAGGGGTGAGACAAATGTTCTCCCCGGTCACAATTCCAATACTATATCAAGTTCCTCCGGTTGATTGATAACTTCATCATTTTAGCACCTAACATGAAAAGCTTCAACTACAACTGACTGATAAGTGTGTGGTACGTTGCATGTTTGCACGAGGACATTATACAACTGAACAATACGTTTTGAAACTCTTCTTTCATTGTTGTTGCACTCTTGGTCTCTGATTTTCACGTCAAGGGGTCGTTCTGCGGTGCGGCGCCTAAAAAACGGCTAATATACGGCGTGACCGGTTAAACAAGTGACCGGTTAAAATTTAGACCGGTTATGTTATATTATTTAACCGGAAATATTATAAAGTACAATAACATACTAGGTAGCGCTTATATAATGTAATAGGTAGCGCTTATATTTACCTATTTTATAAGTAAACCAGTATATTTATACCGATAGCATTGCAAATTTACCTATTACATTATATTATATTGAAAGTGTCCATACTTTTTATAAAAAGGATCGATACTTTAACAGTGTTTCATGTTTTCCACCTACAATATTGATTTAATAATTTCATTTGCACAAAAAATTATTTGATTGTTTTGATATTTTATAAAATATTATTTAGAATTTTTAATTTAATAATAATATATACCGTAACGTAAAAAATAAATCATTAGACGCCTATAATTACTAAATTAATATCTTAAAACTCACTCAAAAGATAACCTTAAATTAATGTTTTCCACAGTGAAAAAAGTATGGACACTTTTATAAAAAGGATAGACACTTTACAATATAACCATTACCTATTACATTATATAAACGATACCTATTACATTATATAAGGGCTACCTATTACATCATATGTTTACCTATTATATTGAAAGTGTCCATACTTTTTATAAAAAGGATCGATACTTTTTTTAAAACTTATGTAATTTATGTTTCAATTTTTTTAACAGTGTACTGCGAATTTAAAATGATAATACTTGTAGTTATTGTACATACCTAAATATGTACTGCGAATTTAATGTTGTACCCACCCTTTAACTACAGAAACATGTTCAAAATGAACCTTCGTTTACATATCCATCAACTCCTGGAGCACTGAACTTGCACAACAAAATTTTGCCATGGATAATACTGATGTAGACAATGTTAAGCCAACCGAGGAATGCCATGAAGTACATAATGTTGATGAATCTGACAGATTGGTTGGTCAGCTCTTCTGTTCACGTGATCAAGCTTGGCACTTTTACAAGGGATTCGCACGGGAACATGGGTTTAGTGCACGTAAGGGAACAACACGGCTTGACGTGGAAGGGAATGTGAAGACACAAGAATTTTGTTGTTCCAAAGAAGGGTTTCGAGTATCAAAAGTCAATACTGTTGATCGTCAACGTGCTCATACGCCAGTCACAAGAACAAGATGTAAGGCTAGAGTCGTAGTTACAGCAACAAATACAAACGATCAGTGGGTTATAAGTAAGTCTGATCAGAAACATAATCATGCATTGTGCACATCTGCTATGACACCATTTATGCGTTCTAATCGAGCTGTAAGTAAGGCTGATATCGATGAGGCAACAACATTGAAAGAGGTCGGTGTTGGCACGTCACAAGTAATGAACTATTTAACGCAGCAGGCAGGGGGCTATCATAATGTTGGATTTACACATAAAGACCTCTACAATGCACTTCAAAGAGGTAAAGCAAAGGAAATCGTCGATGGGGATGTGAATGCGCTTATTGCCTACTTTGATTATAAGAAACATGATGATCCCGGGTTTTTTATGACATACTCGGTAGACGAATCGGGGGCATTGTATAATCTTATTTGGTCGGATTCTACATCGAGATCGGATTACACATGCTTCGGTGATGTAATTGCGTTCGACACAACGTACAAAGATAATTTGTATGGTCGACCAATTATGCCTATTGTTGGTGTCAATCATCACCATAACACAATTGTGTTTGCCACTGCCATAATCGCTGACGAAACGTCTCAATCTTTCGAGTGGGTGCTACAGAATTTTTTAGAAGCCATGATGAATAAATCACCTATTTCTGTTGTAACCGATGGGGATAGGGCAATGCAGAGGGCTATCAAATCTGTTATCCCTTATGCTAAGCACAGATTATGTTCTTGGCATCTTTCTCGCAATGCACAAGCTAACATTGGTGACCCAAAGTTTACAGCAGCATTCTCAAAATGCATGGCTTCCTGGTGGACAACCAAGGAATTTGATATTCAATGGCGTTCGATTGTTTCAGAATTCAACGTCCAAAAGCATCCATGGGTGATTGAGAAGGGAAATACACGACACTTATGGGCACAAGCATATCTAACCGGTCATTTCTTTGCCAATATTCGCTCAACACAAAGGTGCGAGTCTATGAATGCTTCACTAGCTATTGCACTGAAACACAAGAAGACATATTTAGATGTTGTTCGTGCAATTGAAGATGGAATTAGTAGAATGCGTATGAACGAGTTGAAAGCGGATTACTTAAGTTCCCATACGAAGCCCTTCCAGATCACAAAACTGGTCGACCTTGAAAGCCATGCCGCTGCGATTTTTACCCGCGAATCTTTTCGTGTGTTCCAAGATGAACTTATACCGGTATTTAGCTATTCGCGCATAAGACCGGTATATTTATACCGGTTATATTACAAAATTATCTATTTTATTATAATATGTTGAAAGTGTCCATACTTTTTATAAAAAGGATCGAAACTTTTTTTAAAGATATGTAATTTATGTTTCAATATTTTTTAAGTATGTTTCATGTTTTCCACCTACAATATTAATTTAATAATTTCATTTGCACAAAAAATTAGTTGATTGTGTTGATATTTTATAAAATAATATTAAGAATTTTTAATTTAACAATAATATATACCGTAACGTAAAAAATTAATCATTAGACGCCTATAATTACTAAATTAATATCTTAAAACTCACTCAAATGTATATGTACACATAGAAGCAAATATGGAATAATTAATGAAAATATACATACAATATAATCACACCAAAATTTAAATACACAAGAATGTTCAAATAATGTACCGACAAACAAAATTAATCCGATGAAAAAGGGTTGTTTCTAACGAAGTCCGGAACATTAGAGGCCTTCAACAAATTTTCCAAATACTCTCGTATGTTTCCGCCTTTTTCTGAGGACATACATAAATAATTTCAATTATCAAACTAATGAGGTGCAATTTTACTAACAATAAATTAAATTCGCATAAGCATGAATAAATTTGTGTCATACCTAGAGCTTTGTCGTTCGAATGGGAAGCAGCGTCAAAGGTATGTGGACATATGTAATTGTATTTCTATATAAACACATAAGTTGTTAAAATAATCAATGTCTGAACACCTGTTCAACTGATCAGAAACATATTGCATAAATGCAACCTACCGGATTATAAATCATTTTTTCCGCTGAATCATCGACCAAAAGTGTATTTAGCTCGTTAAAATCTGGACACGCGTTCCAAACATCATTGAGATCTTTACAATAGGTAACAGAATCGTATGTTTTGCATTTTTTTGATCCTGTTCACAAACAGTCGAACATAAATATGTAGGAATCATAGACAAGGAAAAGTCAGCAAACTGTAATGACATTCATCTTACCCACACGAATAGAAAATGCTCGGAAAATACAGGTAGTTTCTCAAGTACACGGTCGACGTTATGCCTGAGATTGTAATCAAGATTGAATGTTAACATTCAAATGTATATTAACGATTTTGACTACAGTAATTCAATTGCCTCAAACATGTTCTAACCTCATCTTTGAAGACCAAAGGGCAACAACAAAATTGTCGACACAAAATTGCATAAATTCAAATAATCCTCTTCTGAGGACAACATCTACAACATGAAGAAATGAGATTAAAGTTCTACGCTTATATGTTAAAATAATGGATACAAAAGAATAGAATTAAAACCTGCCGGCAGTCTTGGGATGTAGGCAAGGACACCATTGAGATCAAAATTAAAAGTTTTCTTGAAGGCGGCGTTGCAGACACGATATACTTGTTTGGATCATCATCTTCATCATCATCGTCATCATCATCATCATCGTCATCTTCATCGTCAGCTTCATCTTCTGCGACCGATTGGTTGTCCACATCTGTTAAAAGAAAATAAAATAAAGTTCAGAACGTGTAAATGTTAAGAAACATAGATAATGAATTACCTAACTCGTTTGATGTCGTTGACGTAATTCGTTACGCAACATGGAGACTTCACGTTGCAATGATGAAATATCGGATCGCATTCCACTCACAAGGGAATCAATATGCTCCCGAAAATTGACCATGTATTCCATCACGGTCTTAATTGTGACATCCTCTGCAACTGTTGCTTCTTCCATCATTGCGTCTCCACTTGGTTGCTCTTCTTCATGGCCAACGGGGTCCATTTCCTCCCTCTCTTGATCTAATCCGACCTCCTTGACACGCTTCCAACCGAGTTTTTCAACAAAATCATATCCCGCTTTTTTAATAAATACCATGTCAATCTTGCGGGTTAATCGAACAGGGGCGTCATGCGAA